GGAAGATTCCTTAACCTCATTGGTAAACTCTTTTCAAATCTAAACAGAAGCCCTAAAATACGGTGTAATGTTCATGTGTTGGAGGCTTTTTATGCAGTTCCCAACCAATGTAGATCCTGAAAGCATTCATGTGGCAACTTGTGACATGTGGATTACTTCTTAATGCAAAAAGGTAGGGTAATTTGTAAGTCGTTTAAAGCTAAATCACATTTATCCCGTAAAACTGAAAGGAAATCCATGGGCTGATTATAAAAATAGGCAAGGTAGCACGCCAGATGGTTCAGTGCAGCTTCGAAAAAAAGTCAGAGCAGCGGCTTGTGTCTCACGTTACGAAACGCATTAGACGACTCACTTTGGGCGTATAGTGCAGAAAACAAGAATGCTAGTTTCATGGGAAAAGATTTGTACTAAGTGAGAAGGGTGGTTATTCTTAAGCGCTGACACTTTCAATTTGAGCGAATTCACTCAAAGCGACTGCTTTTCTGGTCTAGACCAGAGTCTAAAGCCAACCCAATTGTTGATTGGTAAAACTAGACTTTCTAGAATCATATAAAATGTGGGCCTGTGTTGCAATTCCTGAATGCACAGATCCGCCAATCTCAGCCAATTAATCAATCATGGGGTGCCATCTTCCTTGATGAGGACAATATGAGGGATCGGCCTCGGAAATCATATTATATAATAGGTTTAGTAGGTATGAGTTGCAAATCTAGGGCAACCACAAGCTAGTTAGTTCTGGCACTAATATATGCAAATTCTCACTCGTTGTTGGCGTCTATTGAGTAGAAAACGTAAGCAAACAGTTATCTTTCGAAGACAGACAATCTCGCGTTCTATTTGCTGGCATAACCGACCTAACCCGTACTACCTACCTACAGCCTTGAATGCATTTTCGTGGATTTCCACGCAGAGGAACGCAATAAGGTTTAGTATCTTGACAGCTGTTCTACATAGGACTATGAAAATAATGCAAGTGATCTGCTGGCTCTTGATCTGTATGTGGTGTGATTGAACACAATCCACATAGCAATGTTAGTTCGGAGATCGATGTTAAGCAATTCTGTGTAAACTGACGACGTGTTAGCCTACACAAACACGTCATTACTGCAGCAATAAATTGGTTGAGCACCGCATTATCAACAGTCTTCTTCCTCTTTCCCGGTCGGACCGTGTCAAAGTGGATCGTTGGCCATGAGTACTTACGCAACTTCACCACTGGTTTGTTCACACTACCGAGATGAAACTGACAGGTAATTTTCACGCGTAAAGGAGAGTACGCTTCTATAATTTGACCTCACAGGCTGTAGTTTGGCATTTATGCTTCCCTCCGGCCGACCGTGCTTTCAATGTCACTTAAAACAGCGATAAAGCTGCCTCAAAATTGGCTATCGACGTGGGATGTCGATGAGACACACTGCCTAGTCAATTAGCGCCATATGCGAGAGTAAGTCTGCCTTCGTTGCATGCCATCGCTTTAAGTCCCGGTGGAGGGGTGAGACCAAACCACCTTCATTAACTCGCAAGCGCGAGGTGGTGGGAGTGACAAGCTCTGCTTGATGAATACGATTACGCTGCCACTGCTGCTGATGACGATGATGATGATGATGATATTGCTGCCTCAGACGCTGCCTGTCAGTCGACTGGTGCATTAGAAAATTACGGTGGCATCCTGGTTTGATTGACAGCTTACTTAAACGCATTAAGACGAAGAGCAGTAGGCAACAGCTTGGTCGAGAGCCAGTCAGTGGCAGGCTGTGAGGGCAAAAATAAATTAACGGTGAGAATTTCCATGAACACGCTCAACACGTTATGGCCTTTGAGACCAGCGAATACAACTGCATTGAAAAAAATTGGTGACGCTAATCCAATCGCGCGTTGTTTTAGTGCGGCAGGAAATTTTCGGGGCGGATAATTAAACTTATTGCTAAAGTGACACGTCACTTCATGTGACCCAAACCTTCTCAGGAGTCTTATTATGGGATAATATCTGGTTAATGAGAGATATTTTCTGATGTGCGTGGATTGAGAAGCAATAAACGACTAACAGATATTTCACATTGGACGTGAGACAAATCCTATTATTACTAGTGTTATTAGTAGTATCGTGCTTACTCTACTGTTCGATCCTTTCATCTGGAAAAACTGAAGCAAGGCGTCAACTATCGATCGCATCATCAGTCTAGCGGGTGTCGCTAAGACTGAGCCAATTGACCAAAAAACGCCAATCATGCCTGGCAAACTAGTGAGGCATACCTGAATGAACACTGACTAGGCGACTACACTTGTCACTCATAATCCGCACCACATTAATTTTCATGTACAGTCGATTAATTAGAGACTAAATTTCACACTCCTGCAACAGGCCTGTTGTCGCCTCAAATGACAGCTTGTAGTCTCAGCGTGAAAATATTACCCTTCAGTTTCTTATGCAGTGGTGTTCTTTTTTTCACTCACCCAGAAACCTTCTCACAGATGTTGTGTTGTGCACACACGTACATAAACACAAGTTCTTAATTACATGTGGTCGACTTGCGCGACCCCTTCGCGTAACTAACAGCCCTGATACTCATCTGTCTCATTAATGACACCTCGATGTGTGTCTCAAAGTTAAGAAACAATATTTAAAATCAGGAGTGACAAAGGGAGATGCAAGAGTCGAACACACCTTCAAGTTTATTTGCTGAATTCGCTCCAATTAGCAATTTTTGATCCTTCAACAAAGGTGGTACTACTAGTAGAATCTTGTCTAGCCTCTCCAAGCTGAAGTGTTGTGACAGCGAGTTTAAGATAAGAATGAGCTCTGTTGAATCTCGAGTTTGAGAAATCGATCCTAAATTCTCTCTCAAGAGAGTAAAACGTCCTAGATTGTGTGGCTCCTTGAGCAACACTCACGAGGTTTCAACACGCAGTTTAGAATTTTGTGGCGCCAAATTCAGCCTGGGTTCTAGTTGGGTAACATTGTCGAGTGGTCGAATGCGTTGTACAAGTCGCATTTATTTCCCGATTCCTGCCCAGCATTAAGTTGCTTGTTATCACGTAGGCCAGCCATTAATCCTGCTCAGTCACAGTCGATTGAAACAAATGAAAGCGGGTCGTTTTTCACTCTTCCCTGCACTTGCATTAACCTCGTTTAACATGACCACCCCACGCCACGAACGCACCCCTAGCCTGCATTCGGTGGTGGTGGTGGTGGGGGGGGTGGAGGCAGGTGCTGGTAGGAGGTGGGAAGGGTTGTTCGTTTCCCTCACCTCGTAAATACATAATGGCCAATGGCAGGCCACCCAGGAAGGCACTCTACAGGCAGTTTGCTCGCCCTTGCGTGTTTTGCATACTTTTACGCTGCATTTGGAGGTCTAAATCCAGCTACCGTTGCCAGGGGACAGAATACGGTAGAAAAATACGAACCGCCATGTTGAAGCTCACATAAATGGATTGGTTTGAGGTCAGTTAAGTCGGCTGTTTCCCTCCACAGTCTTGCAGGAAAAACCCTTTCGTGATCTCGACGGTAGCCCTCAATAGACTCAGTGAGAAAATCCGTCGACATTTATCAACCGATGCCGTAGTTTGAAACTGTCAGCTTTATATTTTTTTTTGAAATTGGCTTGGAAGACCAGCTGAGGGATTAGAGAAGCGGTCTGGAAATTCTGGGGCCACACATTTATAAGTCATTCGTCTCCACTTAAGGTTGGTGTTGGTGTTTACATTTCAATGTAGACAAAGACAAACCGTGACCACACCGTAGATGGTAATTTGCAATTAAAAGTGGTAGTCAAGGCACAGAACAGAAACTGACCAGTGGACAAACGTAAACGCCACGGCACTCGGACTTTCGCCACAGAAATTGGAATTGATGTAAGCCAAGGAAGCGGTTACGAGGAACTCGTGGTAGCAACTGAACGCCAATATCCTTTTAAAGTGGTTGAGAGGGTATCATTTATTAAGGGACACGAGAATTAATTACGAAATGTCCACGGGCGAATCTGGCAGGCTGGAAATCGAGTCCGTCAATCAGATGGACATGCGTTTGGACGGCGTTTGCACACCCTCCTACAACCATGTCTCCATTAAAGTGAGATGTGAAGAAGACGAGAATGAGTAGGAACTCAGGCCCCCTACGTGCACGCAGATTGACATGTTGAATTGGCAACTCAAGCCAGAGCACTGGACACAGGATGAATGAATTGGAGTGGACAAGCAGATGGACGGAGGACAGGGTGAGATGGACAGGTCACGATAAAATTAAAAGACTTCAACTAAACGTCATGCGTGTTCACCGGGTTTGAAGGCAAGTAAACTCAAAGGGTGGGTGTGATCTTCAGCTCAATCAATCTTCCCGGTGTTTGGGAGGGGGGGGTTTGTTGAATAGCCCTGTCGAATGGATTGATGACTAATCATTAAGGGTTTGGAAAAGCAAGGGGAGATAAGAGTGGTTTGCAAGCATAAGTGGTCTTCGCTTCTTCCTTAAAGGGCTAGTTCAGTGGTCAGGTGAATTACGCTTCGGATGTTTTCTCGGAAATAAGTTGGTGATGCCGAGCAATCCAAGCCCTAAATGATGCTCCTCTGTGTTTATTTGATATACGTTGCTTCCTGTTATCGCTTTTTGCCCGCAGTAATTCCTCCAAAAGCAGTTGCGTTTTAATAGGCGTTTTTTTCGATTACCGCGTGTTCCAAAATGCCAAATTATTGGGAATGTCAACTTTCCCTGTGACAACTGAATTAACAATGTGATTTGTGACGTCTATTTACTGGGCTCCGTTCACTCAACATCGTTATTCACACCAACAACCCATCGACCTCAGATCACTTCCGCTTCGAAACCCACCTTTGGCTCCGTGTAGCGCTCGAACCTCTGCTTCCGACAGTACAGGCCTCCATACAACTTCAAATATTCCCCTATTGTGGCGAGTCTTCGACTTGTCGAACAAGGAGTTTCCAGTAATTGGCTTGTGTCTTCGCATTAACTTACCGGATAAAGTCGGCATGTCACCTCTTACCACTGGCTACAATATCCGCGGATCCGACCCAAAATTGATGTCAGCTGGGCTGTCTGTTGACTTCTGGCTGTCAGCAACAGTGTGCTTGAATCCCACACACCGAGCTTCCTGTGAAGTGGCGTGCTGATGCTGGTGGTGTGGTTGGTGTGGTGGGCAATCTGCATTTTGCGTCGTTGAGACAGAAGTAGCCTCACGCAGGTGCATTAAGGGCTAAGGCGAATGAATGCTGTGTCACGTCTTACCTTGGAGTCTAATATCCGCGGATCACACCCAAAATAATGCTTCTCCGCTTGGCTATTTGTTGACTTCAGCGGCGGCTCACCAACCAACGTGTGCTCATCGGCCACAAGCTCACCGAGCTGTAAATTGGCTCGGCGGTGCTCGTGGTGATCTTTATCAGGCGAGGCTGATGTCGAGGTAGAGGTGGGCTCTTCTTCCGTGTCCTCGGAGCCCACATGCTGACCGACCTGTAAAGTAGCCTGGTATTGGTGATCTGCATTTTGCCACGTTGGTGACGGTGTAGCCTCACGCCACCATATCGAGGGCTAAGGCGAATGAATGCCATGTCACCTCTTAATACTGGGCTCAGACAGCAATGCCCTCCACACAACATCAAGTCTTTTCGTATTCTGGGAAGCCCTCCACGTACCAACAAAGAGATTTCAGCTCTTAGCTAATGGGTTTGCAAAATGCTTTGGAAGGCCACTACTACTCTTGCATGATTTCTCTACCATTTAACCTTCGAATTTTTTAAGCTGTATTAGTTTTGAGGCAGTAATAAGAACTTCTCTAAATGTTCAGCTGGTATACCAAAAGATATCACTAGAAATTACCTTGTGGACCGACCTGTACCCAAAATGCTTTCAGGAGTGCCATCCAAGCAGGAGGAGTTCAGCGTCTGTCAGTGTTTTAGCGATTACAAGCTGCAGTGATGGAACTTGTGCGATGAAATCGTTACTGTGACTGCTCTGGTCGTAACACTGGATGACGATGTCAAGCGTAGGAAACAGCAAAGGAAAACGTTTTACCGTGGCTTACACAATACGCATGAGCATGGTTGCGATTTTGGAGTCAGGTAGAAATAGACTATTTTTTGTAATTTGCTTATGAGTGTTTCAAGGTTTACCATTTTCTCACCATGCAATTCACATGCCACGTGTGTTGTGACTTGAGATTTGTATCGTTGGGTTTGTAGCAGTGAGTGCGTAATGTACCCGGAAGTTCCAGTCTGTAGATGCAGACGCATTTTATCTCAAGATAGGTTACGAAATGGTAATGCAGTTATTTGATTACCCGGTATGTTTCGGAGGTTGTTGACTAAATCTAACCTACTACCTTTTGTTTTTCATGTCTCGCTATCCATAACTTACTAGTTGTAACATTTACATATCAGTCTTGATTTATCCCTTGTTTTACTACACTGAGTTCCTTGCCACACCATTCAAATCCGCCTCTCGCAATTTGTTGCATCCATTTACTGTTTAAGCTTTGCTGTTGACTCGATTTATTGCCGAGATATTTGTTGCTTAAGGTAACCTGCATAGAAGATTTGAAAGCTTTGTATTATATTTGCGGTTATCGGATTTTACGCAAGACTATCTGTTAGTCTCTAAGCTGCTGTTATTTACACTAGCAACGTTTTCATTTTGCAGTTAATATGGTACTATGATCCATCAGGTGAGTTTAGAAATAACAAGATTTGGCTCTCTGGCTTCCATGATATTAAAATGCGTAATGCATGGTGGAAAATCTTTGCCAGCTTCACTTAAATACCTGACTGTTTGCGGCGAGCTAATTTGCCATACTTAAAAATAACCCTTATGGGATGACATACAAATTTAGTTCCTTCCTTCTCAGGAATGTGTCATCTCTCTCAAAAGAAATGTAAATGCCTTTGTCAACCCTCGAATTCTTCAAATGTGAATCTTATCATTTGCAAAATAAAAAATCGTATTAATTCGTGATAATTTTAACCTGATACCATAAGGATCAATTGCGACTACGAAAAGCAAATCGAACAGAACACAGACAATCGCGATTGGTTCATTGTGAACACTACTCTAGGCGCTCGATGCATGGTATCTCAGGCTTGCTAAAATTATCGATTTTGTCAGATGTTAGCCCCAACAGTCGGTGAGCGTGTAGGCATCCAATCTCCAGATAATCAATAACGACATCTAGAGGTGTTGATCTTGATACAGCAGAACCCCAATCTTGATAGAAGTGAACAACTATCACAGTTGCCTGGAT